TCTCTTAGGAGGCCGTAGTTCTGTGTCACACCTAGGGTGTGCGCACTAGGGCTTGCCCGCCCATGGCACCCCGTCGCATTCGTCTTCCTCGGCGGACCCGTCTTTCTTTCTCAGCGTGTGAGCGTCTCGTGCGCAGGTGCCAGCTCTTGCCGCTCGGCTCCCAGCCCTTGCCGGGCGCGTCGTCGACACGGCGGTCGCCGGGCAGCTCGGACACTCCTTTGGTACCGTCCAGGAACCGTCTAGGAACTGTCTAGGCGGGCGCCGGGCAGCTCGGACACTCCTTTGGTACCGTCCAGGAATCGTCTAGGAACCGTCTAGGCGGGCGCCGGGCAGCTCGGACACTCCTTTGGTACCGTCCAGGAACCGTCCAGGAACCGTCTAGGCGGGCGCCGGGCAGCTGGGACACTCCTCCTTTGGCCGCTCGTGCTCGTCCGACCGGGGCTGCTCGCGCGGTGCCGAGCTTAGTCGCGCTTAGTCGCGGAGCCCGAACTCCCCCCCCCCCCCCCCCCCTGCCTCTTCTGCTTGTGTTCCGCTGTACTCGGCCGTTTTCAGTTGTATGCACTGCACCCGCCTGGAGGTGCCGACCCCGGCGGCTCATATGTTTCCCCTCTATATTCCTTAGCCCGCCACGCTTCTTTTTTTAGGACCCGACCCCGGCGGCGCCTGGACGCGGTCGCTGGTCGACTTTTACCTTGCGGGCGAGATTCGCCGAGATTCGCCGAGACTCGCCGAGACTCGCCGAGATTCGCCGAGACTCGCCGAGAGTCGCCGAGAGTCGCCAAAGAGATAATGATTGACCGTTCTTTTAGGCGCGGCGGACGGTTTCGTCAAGGGTCTCTTCACGTCCTTCCTCTTCGCGACGATGCGCGCCGCATCCTGCGCTGCTGTGAGGCGCGCGCGTCTCCTTCCCCCACCCCATTTCTTTCTTTAGGCGCCGCAACTTGCTCTGCTGTGAGCCGGGCGCGTTTGTTCAGTGGATGGCGTGGTACAACCTCAGCCGCACGCACCGCGACCACCCGATGAAGGCCTTGGACGCCACTCCGTGCTTCGTGTGCACGCAATCATTCCCTTTTATTCGCGCGTTCTGTTTTAGGACCGCGCCTTCATGGACGCCCTCGCGCGCACGAGCTGGGCGGACGAGAAGCCGGTCTTCGCCGCCGCCTCCAGTGCGGACGAGTCGAGCGGATGAACGGGCAGGCACCCGCGCTTGGATGCGCTTCAGAGACTTTAAAATCTCTGACACGAACTGGGTTCTCTTCTTTCTCGGTTCCGTTGGCCTCCTAGAGCAGACCCCCCCCAGCAACTTCACCACATGTTTGGGGGGGGTCCCGACCCCCCCAGCGCCTTCACATGCTAGGTCAGGGCCCTTGATTGCTTACACTTATTTCGCAGCATTTTTCGAAGAGACGAGGACGCGAACGGCCCGAGCAGAGAGGGCGACGGCGGAGCACGAGGGGGCAACGGAAACGCCACCAATGACGCGAACCGAGGCACGGGCGACGGCGGGGACGGGGAGGGCGACAGCGACGTCGAGGTTGACGCAACGGTATCGAGAGCGCCACCCCAAAAAAGCAGGCGGACAGCCATGGAGGTCACCGGATGGAAGGCGAACGGCACGATACGAAAAGGCACAGGGCGAGGCGGATGGAGAAAGAAGTGCCGAGGAGGCCATGGTGGTTGGTGGAGGGGAGGGACGGGAGGACGAAAGAAGGGAGAGGAGGACGAGTGGCCCGCACAGGCCGCGAGCAGACAGCGCCTGCTGGCCATCTCGAGACATTCGCAAAGAACGCTAGCTACATGGGAGGGCTTCGTAAAGGATGGATTGAAAAACATTCGAACAAGAAGAGGCGACGGGAGGAACCGGCGGAGGACGCAGTGACGTGAGACACACACACACACACACACACACACACACACACACACACACACACACACACACACACACACACACACACACACACACACACACACACACACACACACACACACACACACACACACACACCGCTCACCCACGCGCACTGGGCCTTGCACTTTGAATGCTGTGGGGCTCCTGTCGTTAGACGTGGAGACGCGATGGTCGCCCCCCCTTGCCCCACCACCTCGTGTGTGTGGAGAAGTTTACCTTACCTTACCTTACCTTACCTTTTCGAAGAAACTTATCCGTTGGAGCTACATGAGCCTTGACTGGCCAGATTCTCCAAGATATTGGACTTCCAGCCAAGATTTCACATCTGTGGAAGACGGCTAGTGCACTAGTCCCCCATCGGGAGGACGACCCCGGCTAGTCGCCGACCACACCCACAAAGAACCCTGCACAAACATCGCAAGGGCGGGGACCTGTTCCTTTTTACCCATCTCACAGTAGAGGTGTCCGTTTTATTTATTTATTTATTTCACATCTTTGGGCTTTGGGGGCAAAATCGGCTCTCTCTGGCGATTCCTAGCCCACGAACTGCTGGGGGATGCCCACGAGAACGCGCGATGAAAGTGCGGTCTGCCGCGCGGGCGAAATCTGCCGGTGAGAGAGCTGTTGAGCGCGGTCGCTGTGGGCTTCACCTCATCGCCATTTCCGTGCGAGGCGCGCTCCGTGTCTTTTATGAGATCAAATGAACGTCTTTACACACTCATCGGGCGGCACCGCTCACTGCAGAGCGCCGCCCTCTCGCGGCTCTCGAGAGCGAGTTTTCGCCAGACAGCCACACGTCCATTATGGCGCGCGTTCTCGCCGGACGGGCGTTCGCCGGCAGGCCGCCGGCGAGGGCATCTGCCGGCGCTCGTCTGCCAAAGTGGCGCCCGAGTGGAGAGCTGGAGGGTGCATATTCAACTGGCCAACCCGGCCATCGCGCGGTCTACCCGGGTACCGTTCGGCGGCTGAAAAAGGGGTAGAACCTGGTTTGTGGAGCTCCCGCAACTTACCCTGTTAGAGGCCACCATAAGGGACCCCATTGCCCGTTTGCCACCAGACTTTTTTTGAGTTGGAGGTAATAACTAAATGGATTGCACTGTCCCAAAGAACTGATGCATTCATAGTGCCTTCACATAGTTACAATACCTCAAAGTTGAAAAACTCCAAAATAGGCCGTCAGGACTCCGTCAGGACTCCGTCAGGACTCTGTCAGGACTCCGTCAGGACTCCGCCAGGACAACCACTGTCCCCGCTGTGAATAGAGCCCTTAGCTAGAGAGTAGGGAGGGGTGTACAGTCGAGTTACTCCCGAGGGCAGGGACGGCCCTCCACTGAGGGAAAGGGCGCACGGGGACGGTATCGACCCAGCCACGCAGCTCTTTCCTCGCGTACAGCCAACGAGTTTGCTGGTCCACAGGCAGGCCAGGCCGTGAGCGTGGGCCGGTCAGGCCTGATCCTGCGGTGAGCACTGGAGGGCTATGCGGCTCGCTCCGTCAGCCGACTTGCGCTGTCGAGCGGTCGAGCGCTTCGGGTTGGACCCGCGGGAGGGTCCCTGCGCGGCTGACATGGCCAGCCAAGCCGTGTGCGCTGCCGTGGGTGCTGCCGTGGGTGCTGCTGTGGGCGCTGCCGTGGGCGCTGCCGTGGGCGCTGCCTCGGTCAGCAGTCGGTCAGCAGTCGGTCAGCAGTCGGTCCGCTGCTCGGCGCTGGCCTGCAGGTTGCCGGTGGCAAATCGGGGGCGCGCGGGCCATGGACGTCGTGGCCGAGCTTTGCTGCCTATGCACGTTGCCGGCTGTAACGTTGCCTGCACCATGGCCGCGCCTCTCTTGCTTGTGCGCTTTTCATGGTCGTCGAGTGGCGCGAGACCCACCGTGATTTCTTTTGTCTGCTGTCAGGACTCTCAAGTTTCTGTCAGGACTCTCAAGTTTGCTTGTCAGGACTCTCAAGTTTGCGTCAGGACTGCCCCATCAGGACGATTCCGCAGAGGGCGCGCACGGTCGAAACGGGGGCTGGGCGTCTATCATTCACTGCTGGGGGGGAGGGGAAGGAGGGTTGCAGTGAAGGAAGGTGGAAGTCTCTTCGGAGGCACTTGTGAGCACTGTGAAGACCGTGCGCCGTCAGGACCCCGCCAGGACTCTGTCAGGACTCTGTCAGGACTCTGTCAGGACTCTGTCAGGACTCTGTCAGGACTCTGTCAGGACTGTCAGGACAGTTGCGGGAGCTCCACAAACCAGGTTGTAGATAGACGCGTCTATCCCTACCGCGGTCTACCAAGTCTACCGGTAGACTGGGGTCGTAGGTTCATTACGGTCTACAGGTAGACTGCGGTAGACTCGTCTACCAAACGGTCTACCGTCTACCCCAGTCTACCCCAGTCTACCGGTAGACGGTAGACGGGCCACCCCTCAGGAAGAATTTTGATATCCGTCAAAACGCCTGCTTGGGGGCAGCTTTCGGAAGCCGTCACTCTGCTACCTCCCAGCAGGAGCGAACACAACAGGCACACGTCTCAGGCGCTTCCCTACCTTAGGACAGTCAGATTAGGAGAGAGAAGAAAACGCGCGAGGGTTGCCCCCCCTTGCCCCACCACCTCGTGTGTGTGGAGAAGTTTACCTTACCTTACCTTACCTCCCGTGGTGTACCTGTGTTAGTGCCAGTGCGAGCCAGTCCCGTGTGAGTGAGTGAGTATTCTTGATACGAAACCACGACGACACACACCAGTCGACTCGCATCGGTTGCCTCCATGAACGGCGGAGCTATTCTCGCGTCCACACCACACCTGGCTCCAACGTGGACACGCCCATAGCTGGGGACACTACTAGGTCACGCATGGCATCAGAAGTTTTATCTCTGGGCCCCGAAAGGCATCTCTAGCAGCGTCGTTACGCACACACACTCAAAAATCAAAATTCTTTTTTCGCTGTGTCCTCCTAGCTCGCAATCATAATCTGTGCATCCATTTCGCGCGAGAGAGGCAATCTCTGTGCATCCCGTCTCGCGCGCGAGAGGCAGTGAGGCTCTGTGCATTGATGTCCGAGGTGATCGGCAAGGCCCTCATCGGCTACCGCATCAAGGTTTGGTGGGCTGGCGACAGGAAATGGTACCCTGGCGAAGTCACCGAGGCGGCGGCCGGAAGGGTACATTTGTCTCGACAGTGGAATGAGGGCGGCGCGCTTCTGGACAACTTCGTTCGGTACGACGATGGGGAAACGAAGTGGCATAGCCTCTGGCACGTTGGCGAAAAATGGGAGGTGGTCAAGCCGCCGAGCGGGGGCGTCGCCTCGTCAAGGCCGGCGGCTGTTGCCTACGAGATGTGCGGCATAAACGGCTGTCCGCTCCTGAGCGGGCACGCCGGCATGTGCGTCATCGAGAACGCGAAGGGTCGCCGCTGCAGCGGCCCGTCGCCCGCGGCTGCTGCGTCGGCCAAGCCGGCGGCGAAGGCCGCAACACAGGCGGCGGTGCCAGCGGCAGCGGCGGTGATGGCGGCGCCGAAAGCGGCGCCGAAGCCGGAGCAGGCAAGCCAGAAGCGGGCACGCGCACCCAAGCCAACGTCCGGCAGCTCCAGCGGCGGCGGCTCCGGCGGCGGCGGCTCCGGCTCTGGCGGTCGCGGCAGCGGTGGCGGCGGTGCTGGCAGTGGTGCTGGCAGTGGCGGCGGCGGCGGCGGCGGTAGCAGCAGCAGCGAGGACGACTCACCACTCTCGAAGCGAGTCGGCGCGGGCGCTGGGTCGGGCGGCAGGTCGGCCTCGGCCGCAAGGCCGCCGCCAGGTGTAGTAATAGTAGGTAGCAGCAGTGGTAGTAGTAGTAGCCGCAATAGTAGTGGCAGTAGTAGTAGTAGTAGTAGTAGTAGCCGCAAGGCCGCGGCCAGGTGTAGTATTAGCCGTGGCAGTAGTAGCAGCAGTGGTAGTAGTAGAAGCCGCAAGGCCGCTGACAGACGCCTCTGCAAGCGCGTCCCAGTTGCAGCAGCAGTAGCAGCAGGAGTAGTAGTAGTAGGCGGTAGTAGGGGAGATATGGGGGAGATATGGGGGAGATATGGCGAGGTTATATGGGGGAGACTACCGCGGCATCGCCTAGGCGGCAGCAGTAGTAGCAGTAGTAGCAGTAGTAGTAGTAGTAGTAGTAGTAGTAGCAGTAGTAGTTGTAGTAGTAGTAGTAGTGTAGCAGTGTAGTTGTAGTTGTAGTAGCTGGTACTAGGCGGCAGTAGTAGGAGTGGGCGGTAGTGTGTCGTAGCGGTACCAGGCGGCAGTAGGCACCCCCTAGCAGGAGTAGTAGGCAGGCTTAGCCTTACTTCCAAGATCCCCCCCCCTCCCCCCCCCCTCCACACGCCCAAGCGACCAGCGACCAAGACACGGGCTTTGCTCCACAGCAGGCGGCGCGGCGAAGAGCGGCGGCGCGGCGAAGAGCGGCGGCGCGGCGAAGAGCGGCGGCGCGGCGAAGAGCGGCGGCGCGGCGAAGCGGCCGGCGGCGGCGGCGTTTGGTGCGCCCGTCGCCGCCGTCGCCGGGGCAAAGCGGCCTGCAGCCGCGGCTGGTGGCGCAGCCGCCGCGAGCGCCCGGGTTCCGTTACCCCCCACCCAACCCCCCCACCTTCCCTCCTGGCTCCAGCTTTGAAGCGAGATCGCGCGAGATCACGCGAGGTCTGCCCGAGATCAGGCGGCGGTCGCCCGCCCCTCTTCTTCCGCTTCGGCTTCGGGCTGGAAGAGCAACGGCGCGCGCCTCCGCCCCAGAAGAGAAAAGAAAAGGCGCGCCCTCAGGGAGGGGGGGGGGGGGGGGCGCGTGCCCCCAACACAGCCAGACACCCTTGCTTGGAGCTTTTACCCGCGTGCCGTCGACATTCTCCCCTCAGCCGGCGCCGCCTCAGCCAGTGTGCCCGGAGCTGCGGCTTGCGGGCGCGGCGGTCTGATCAGACCGCCCTGCGGCGGCTTCCCGCCTTCTCCCCATCTTCTCTACTGCCGGCACCTCTTTCTTCTAGGCGGCGGCGGCGCGTCAAGAGCGGGCGCACATCGCTTCCAGGGCGCCCTTCTCCCCCTGTCCCCCCCCCCCCCCTCCCAAAGCGTGTGGTGTGGAGAGAAGGGCGCCCCCCTCCCTGGAAGCGATGTCCGCCTGCTCCAAGGCGACGGCATGCCTCATATGCGTCTCTTCTCACCTCCACTCGCGGCGGGGCTCTGTGCTTCCGGTAGGCGGCGGCGGCGGCGCGCCAAAGGCGTCGGAGCACATGTCGATCGGACGGTGGGGCGGGGCGTCGTGATGCAAATTGATTACTCACGGGATGGCTGACTCAGGCGTCAAAGTACACGATCAAGAGGGCGGCGGCGGCCCCTCCCGACGATGGCGGCGAGATCAGCCCGAGATCAACCCGAGATCCGCCCGAGATCCGCCCGAGATCACGCGAGATCAGCCCGAGATCCGCCCGAGATCAGCCCGAGATCAGCCCGAGATCACGCGAGATCAGCCCGAGATCCGCCCGAGATTTCGCCCGCCGGTGATCAGGAGCGCTAGCGACGGCGCTGTCATCTGCTGCGGCGCGCGGCGCGGCGGCGGCGCCCTCCCGCCCCGCGCCGCGGCCGCCGCAGCCACTGGCCCGCACGGACTCGGTTGGCGGAGGCGGTGCTGCCCTCCCCGGCAGCGCCGACTCGCCCCCGTCTCCCCGCGGCGCTAAGGCGGTCGCGGGCATGCTGAACTCGCCCCCGTCTCCCCGCGGCGCTAAGGCGGTCGCGGGCATGCTGAACCAATGTGCGAGGCCGCTCGGCGGCGCGGCGGCCCTAGAAGCGCAGGAGACGCATCCTTCTCTTCCAGCCGGCATGAGGGCAGTGGACGCACGCGTCTTCAGCTGCAGTCGGCGGCACTCGGCCGCAGTCCGCACTGTGCTCACTGTCCTCGTGTCCCCTCGGTTCACGCGGTGCTCTGAGGACACTGCA